GTCGCCGTTGATGGGACGTTACAAGCCATATATTTTTTTTAAAACTCATTCGTCACAGTCACTCAATCAATCAATCAATCAATCAATGTTTATTTATATAGCCCAATATCACAAATGTTACATTTGTCTCAGTGGACTTCACAGTTTGTACAGAATATCAGTATGACAATACGACACCCTCTGTCCTTAGACCCTCACATCGTACAAGGAAAAACTTCCAGAGAAAACCCACAGTTTAAAGGGAAAAATGGGAGAAACCTCAGGGAGAGCAACAGAGGAGGGATCCCTCTCCCAGGACGGACAGACGTGCAATAGATGTCGTGTGTAAATTGAAAAGATAATACATTTGCAACATAGGTAGTCCAAATGTTTGGAAATGCATGTGTGTATAATAGGAAGATGAATCCACGAGGATATCCATCCAGCACTTATGATCCAGGACCACAGCAAGAGGCACAGCCACGACTCGCGATCCAGGGCTCGCGATCCAAGACTCAGGACCACAGCAACACGATCAGCCATGACTCCGGATCCCGGCGTATATAGACACCAAAAAGACATTTGGGGAAGCTGGGTTATTCGGAACATGAGTACACAGGTATTCACAATTGTAATTGGTTTGAATGTGTATGTATTTACACTTTCAGGTTTCCACCAGTGTTCTGCTAACCCAATAGCACAAGTTTAGCCTCCACCATGGATTAAGCCTCTACATTTTGTTTACATCAAGATATTTATTGAACTCAGGTTGTGCTTAAGTGTAGCGTGTGCAGTTGAGAGATAGTGCCAGACCCACACAGAGAGGACATTGTTTGTGTGTTGTCTGATTTTATTAAACTGCCAATCTTTCAACTCAACCTGCCAATCATCTCCCTTCATACCACCGTACTGAGAAGAGTGAAATCTAGTGTTTTTCTGGTTGGTTGAGGAAAATAAAGAGCGAGGATTTGTTGTGTGTGTGTGCAGTGTGTATGAACTCAGCAGTGACGGAGCTGGCAGGGTGTGTGCAGTTTATTTATTGCTAATACATTCTCAAATGTTCAACTCCAATTAGGAGAACTATGCACTCATCCTTTTCACTTGTCCAGCATTCTATGTTTTTCTCTTTTTAGATCTTCAGCAAATATTTTGAATGGCCCTTAGGCTACTAACGCTTGCATTTCAACCTGGGTAACAATACATTAGTCATTGATGCGTATTTTTATTTTGCAAACATTTCTCATGATTGAGCCCATTGCCTTTTAAGGACATTCTTTCCAGCCTTTGCATGATCCAATATGTATGGTCTCTGATATATCTTTTACTAACTCTCATGCTGCAGAGTGCACACACACATACGCACAGCAGGTGGACAGGACAGATGAAAGGTTCAGCTCAGGTGCTCTGCAGGTGGACTCGCGTGTGTGTGCTGTTGCGCAGACAAAAACCTCCAGTGTGATTAATCCAGTCTGAAGAAAATGAGTGTGTGTGTTCTTTTTGGGATATGTGTATTTTCCCCAGTAGTTCTGACGGTTCTCTTCAAAGTGCTTTTTTTTCTTCTCCGAAGCCAAACTATCTATTATCCTCCTGCATCAGCCCCTCCTCTGTCCTCTGCTGTCTGACTCAGTCTGCTTGTTATTCTATCCAGACAGACAGCACTTTGATTCAAGGAACAAACCTTAAATCTTGCTTCATGAGAGAGTTTCATCAGCCCCTGCTTTATGTTTCTGTTTCTTATATTCCAGCAGAGACAGTAGGGTTAATTTTTTTCTTTCTAGAAGAAATATGATTATTGGCGTGGTGGCGTCAGTGCGCGTTTTTTTGTTTGGAACATGTCCCCCTGCTCCCTTTTAAAGTCCTCATTCACTGTTTTGTTGTTTTGGGTGGAGCTCCACTTTAAACAGTAGGGTTCCTGCTCACTCAGGAGACACAGAGGAGGTGGGAGATGGAAATGATGAGATAAAGCAAAATACTTGGTTGGTATTCTTTTATTTCGTCTCTTATGGCTAGAAAATTAATTTAAGGTTGAAGTTTGCAGCTGTTGTTTTATTTCGTTTACAGATGTTGTGTTGTCCATGTATAAATATATCTTAAATTGAGGTTATTTTTTAAGCGTAACCCTTCCCAGCTTGGGGTCCACTCACAGTCCCAGCGTGTCATTACAACAACAGAACTAGGTGTGGTTCTTCTTACCCTAAAGACTTCATGACTTTTCTCTCTTGTTTTGACAGAAGTGTTCAGAGTGAAGAGGTTTAGTTTCTGGCATCTTTCCTGGCTTGCTGTTGTTCTGAATGTTGTGAAAGTGTCGATGGCACATGGTAGAAGGGAATAGCCCAAAGGGATGAGGTGATGTATCCACTCAGGAACCATTGAGGAGGTAATTATTCAAGAAGAGGCCCACACCACACATGTTTTTGATACTGTGTTCTCTCAATACCTTCCCTACTAAGATCAGAAACCGTGTCAACACAATTCCCTGCATACCTGGTAGGAGACATCTTCGTGGTGCAAACAAAGCTTTTGCCCAGAACCTTCCTCTCATCTGTGCAGTGTGCAATGAAGGGAAAAAGGAAAGGAGGAAAGAAGACGGCTTTAAGAAAAAAGAGTGGGGAGTCCAGGCTTTATAAAAGTCAGCCATCCATATAATTAGCTGATGCTCTGCTCAACTTAGAGACTTCACAATGACACATTTAACCAACTCCGGTTATTCAGTCCAACTGACTTTCCAACAGTGCATTAAAATTGTCTCTGAAGATATGGGAAGTACAAATGGCTCATATGATGACACATATTTTTATGATCTGGGTTGAAAAGTAAGTCTTATTCCAGCAGAGTTCATTTTTGTTTCTCCATGTGTTGACATTCTTAGATTGTTACAAAATGTCCTGGCTGTGAATTCTAATTCTAGATATTTGGGAAGGCCGTTTTTCTCAGTCACAGCTATTTTGAGGAGATAACAGTTTCCCCTTCGGTCAAGGAGTTGCCAGAGAAATGTATAAAGTAGCCACCTGCTGTTATGTGTAGAGCAATTCATCCTTTGGAGGTCAAACAAGGTGGAAGTGTAATTGATGATGGATCAGGTCATGTATGTGGTAAGCTTCGGACAAAGTAAGTGAAATTGATTGAAAAAGTAGTTTTTAGGGATGGTAAAGTGTAGCAACACAAATTACTGTGCGTTACCGATCATTCACTACAGCGGCTCGTATCTGTCTGCCACATCTTTCTACAGTGAGTTGACCTTTTGTAATGGCCATCAGTAACACGATACGTTTCCATTTCCAAATCAAACATTTACGACATTAGGTTTTAAATATAGAATTCTTAGTAATGACAGGATAACTTACAAACACTAGCTCTATGCAGCTTATAATTAATCATTAAAACCTAAACATGTTTTAATCAAAGTATATATTTATAGAAAATTACGATTTTAAAACCTCTTTTCTGTCCACTTCTTAGATATTTTAAAGAAGTACTCCTATTTCAGGATATGGCCCCCTATTCAGCTGCAATTCATTTTCTCCATTGTTTCCTACATCGCTACTGTGGGCCTGGGGAATCGGTGTATAAATGCAACACATCATTTGGTCCCTTTTAGCCATTACCTATTCCCATTTCATTTGCATAACTTACACGTACGGGTGTTTTTCGGTGTGAAACTATTGGAACCGGTGTTGCTGATGCTTAGGTCAGCTTTTCGATTAGCAAAACATCTACTGTCAGGTGCTCACTGATGAACAACAAATGTTTCAGTGTTGGGTGTCATTGCAACACATTTCTTATATATGCTGCAGAAGGAACACATTTTGTCTCACAATGTACAGCACCCCATGATGAAAACTCTTGGCAATGTCATGCACAGCAACCACTGCTATCGGTCTATTAAGGCTTGACCATAGCACAAACAGAAATCTAAATTTAGCTGTCTGACGGCAGTGACGTTAGTGTACATGGATTGGGTCATTAGTTTGGAAGAAGGGGAAAGTAGATGATCAATACAATGAACTTTACCATTAGGGAGAGGATAAGTCAGGAATGGATTAAAGGGAGTAAAGTAGGCAGAGGGGGATAGGGGCAGGGGGTTTAACAATAGCAGCTTATATCTAACGGTGACTATGTTTTTGAAAATGTTTTGTTGATAAAAGTACATTCACAACAAGTTGACCTTAGCAACAGTTCAACCTGCTCTTTGTCAGCACACAGGGACTTACCAAAGTGAGATGCATCTTGAAAATTGACACTGCACAGTGCACAAGCATCCTGGCTTCATGCCTCCAGTACAATGTATCATGTTTGGCAGACAAACCTTTGGTACA